CCGATGAGCCACGGAGCCGCTACTTTCGAATAAAAAATATTTTGTTCGTAACAGTTATACGTATTTAGCAAGTGAGATACTCGGCGCGCGACACCAAGCTATTTTCCACAAGTTTAAACTTACTTGTGTCTCCGAACCGTGATCATATATATATATATATATAATAAATGACAGATTATTATATTCGAACAAAACCACCAGCCTTTGCGACCGTTCGAGAAGTTGCGATAAAAATGAGAACGACAAAATATAATATTAGAAATATTTTCGAAGAATATCTTATATAATTGATATGGCAAAAAAAACTGATATATAAGTTTGATAAAAACTATTTCATACTTGATATTCTGTTTTATATTCGGATAATTGTTTATTTTATCTCTTCTTTTGTTGTCAAATATTAGCTTTCTTTTTTCTCCTATTACAATACCTATATTGTCTATATCATTTGGAAATATAATTTTTTATCCATTAAACAAAGCTTGATATTTGTAATGTTATACTTGAGATATATAGAACATACTTATGTAATATAAAATTCTTACAAATTTACATTTTATCTTTACTAAATAAAAATATTTTACATACATTAAATTTGAAAAAATATTCTTGTTTTTTATTTTTGTTAAACTGTTTAGTTTTGCTTTATAAAATGTAGTAACAATTTTCATACTTTTTAAAACACAGTGTTACATCTTCAGTGATGATTTTTTTATGGGAATAAAATCTTCGTGTAGAAGTTAATATATGGCTAAGAATCATAGTCAAATCTAATATTTAAAGTCATCTTAAATATTAAATTAGATTATGAATAATGGTCTAATAATATGTTTCATTTGACAATGTTTTGACTTGACGTGACCATATCTTTACATCTTATATAATTGATATGGCAATAAAACTGATAAGTTTAATAAAAACTACTTCAAGCATCGAAGTTAGCTTCTTCCTTTGTTGCGCTGCTGAATGTTAAATCAAGCTTCGGTAAAAAAAAAATATAAAGATTCAAATAAATGCAATAATTTACCATCTCTTCTCCAGATAATCACATCATCAATATTAGGTATGTCTCGTTTTATTTCAGGAATAGGACCCTTTATAGGGATGTTTCTGGAAATATTAATTTGAATTCGACATAACTCTGTCGAATTAATGGGTGCACCCTCTGGACCTTTGAACAGGGGTTTTTCTCCGTTTGATTTTCTAAGAAGAAAATTTGATCATGTTACAATTATATCTTTATGTTATTATTATTATTATTATTATTGTATTATTATACAGTAATCTTGCTCTATAAGGATATCTGATGTAAGACATATTTGAAGCCTGTAAAAGACTTTTATCAATTCTAAAATTGTTTTTCCATGTTATTATGCATAAAACAATAGAGTTGTGTGTTCGTAACTGATAACTTTGCATGAATGTGCTTTTATAAGCAAAAAGAAAACAGTTGAAGTGTTTATTTCTATAAACTTCTTTTGACAAACTTATATCATACAAGTACTGTGTATTGTGCTATTTTATGTTTATTTCTTATCAAAAACAGACCTTTCTTATGACATGAGTAAATATGTAGATAAATATATATATATGTAGATTTATTAATAAAAATGAAAACTCTTTTTAAGTAATTTACTTCTTGTCTTGTGCATTAATAAATGCTGTTCCTAGTATGCAAGTAGTTTATTTTAATCTAAAAACTTGCATGGTAAAAAAGTCATAGGACTTCTCACTTGTGATATCATAACCCTCAATATAGCTGCAACAACTGTAACTTTTTAAGGCTGACTTTGGTAATATAAATGAAAGGCTTTTTATTACCTTATTGAATGTTTTATCTCTTTTAATTTTTTTATTAGCTGGCTTCAAGTTTTGATAATTTATATTATCAAAACTAATTTGTATCTTATCTTCAGTCAAAAACATAGCTAAATAATTGGAACAAAGGTTAAGTAAGATGTTTTCTTACAGTTGCTTATCTAAGACTCACTCTTTGAAAGTAGATAGATATTGAATTGGTGAAGATCTTCCTGTATGATGATGAGGAGGAGAGTCACTAGGGCTTCTTTTACCCAGCTCTTGGGCCCGTTTTCTTTCCCATTCCTCAATTTTTCGTCGTTTTAATCTCTCATGTTCCATCTCTAACTCTTGCTGACGTCTCCATTCTTCTCTTCTTGTCTTGATCTCTTCTTCAGTTCTTGAACGTGAAGTAGAAGGAACAGGGTCTTCACTATATCTACTGGATCTCTGATTCCTGGTATGGGAGTAACTTGTTGGACGCATTGGGCTTGTTTGTTGATATAAAAATGGAAGCAAAAGTCAGTGTTGAAATTTATATTGTGGTGAAAATTTTGAATTTTAATACTTCTGAACAGTGTTTGTTCGTCATCTTGATTTTAGTAAAAAAGAGAAATAATCTGTAATGTGTCCAATCTGTAACTGAAATTCAAAGTATTTTTCTCTATAACCGATTTCTTTACATATTTAATACAGCCGTAACAATAAAAAGCTCAAGAACGTTTCATTTCCAGCTGTTTCAAATTTTGCTTGCGCAAGAAAAATCAATTTGAGTAGATAAAATAATTATACATAGTCGAAATAAGTTCTGAATGGAGGTAAAAAGCTGTTTTGTATAGAAGCACCAATAAACACAGTAAAACTAAAGACTTGTATATCACGTTCTTATTGATAAATAACGACAAAATATACGTTTATTACGCTATTTGCAACAGGGAGAAGACTGAGAGCGGCCATCTTATTGTAGTTTTTTACGACGGTTTCAGCCGCTAGTGATGGGCGATGGGTGCGTTCAGACAACTCAACAGTTGCACAACGGTTGAGAGATAATCACTTCTGATTGGATCATACTTTTGGAACCGCAGCAGATTTTGAAGAATAATCCTATCAACCTTTGAATTGTCTGAACGCACCCGATGTTACTTCGATTATTTTAAAATCGATCTTTGTTTTCTAAAAACATCGATTCTCGTACAATATTTTTCACTCTCAATTCTTCCCTAGACAATAGTTTTTTTTCTTCGATGTTCCTAGAATTGTTACTAAACTGATTGTCTGGAAAGAGCATAGACGTATAATATATAGACTGCGCGTTCCCTACCTTTGCCATGTTAAGCAAATGTCTTCAACGTTGAGAGAGACAGCTAGTGTTTAATAGTAGCCTCATCTCTGTCTAGCAAAGTAGTGGGGGAAGAAGAAGTCTTTGCTGATTGATTGAATAGTAGTGGAAAAGTGGGGATAGAAAAATAGTAGGGATGAAGAGGAATGAAAGAGATTAAGGGGTGATGGTAGGTTAAGTGATATAAAACAGTATGCTTTGCGCACAATAGACAATATTAGGGGAAGAGAAATATATATTAAATATTAGAAATAAGAAATTTAAACTATGTCTTTACAAAACAAAAAAATAGAATAAATTAATACATTATAAGGTAAAAAATATAAAGTTAAAATAATTAATTCATTCCGTCCCTGACGAAAATGAGAAGTTTTATAAGCGATTATTTGACGTTTGTATGAGCGTTTTGCGGAAATTCGTTGAAAGTTTTGAAACGGTCAGTAGAGAATTTATAGGGCGGAAACTGCAACGCTACAGCGTTTGAAAGGCGTTTGTATAAAGCGTTTCTGAAAGTTTGCATAGTGTTTACGTTAAGCGTGAGACGAAACAAAATAATTTATTAAGTTAAATATATAAAATAAAAATTCAATAAAAGAATTTTTTGCGACTCGCGCTTTTACACATCTAAGAGATTTCACTTGAATTTAATTTTTTTGGAAGCCCGGTTCAGCTCGCCAATCAACTGATAAATTCTATTAAAAGGGATCGGACCTGAAAAAATCCTAAGATGATAGCGGGATTCGAACTCGAGACGCCTCCGTCGTATTCGCAGCACCTGCACTCAGTCCGCAAGACTACTTGTTCCTTACTAAAATNTGATTATTTTTATCTACTTATTCTCAAGCTATCTTACACAGTTCATTTATTATTTTTTTAAAATATTATTTTATTAAAAATATTGCAGTGCAATGTACCTGCAATGAGTAAAAATACTTCTCTCTCTTATTACTATTAAATATGATTTAAAGTACATTTTTACAACCCAACCAAATTTTAACACTGTGTCTCAAATAATGCTATATTTAAATCAAATATAGTCTGTTACATTTATGTTAAAAATTGATTTTTTCTTTAAATAATGGTTCATTTAATGAATAAAATAACCTGATAAAACATTATTTCGTTGAAATAAATTCTTTCAAGCACTTATATTATTTTCTTCATATTATGATTTAGTATAACGTAACAATACAAAGTTTCATTCAACAAAATTGTTGTTTGGTATAAAATTATGTTATTTGAATGCAACAAATATGAGTCAAACAAATCGGATTATTAAATTTAAAGAAACCGTTCTCTCTGTGTATAGAGTTGTAAGCGTTTGTAAGTGTTCAATAATTGTTAATCTCGACTTCAATTCTTAAATTATACNAAAATTTTTTGTATGCAAAAGTGTCACTTGCTACGCAATTACTGACTGCTATTTTTAAATTTAAAAATATATACTTAGTATTAGTAATTAGTAATTATAGTAAATAATGTAATATATTAAATATAATATATTAAATATAATATATTAAATTACATAAAGCTATTATATAAAACTATTACATAAAATTAATCTCAATATAATTAAATAATTTAATAT